ATTATTTACTAATAAATAAGTTATAACTGCCAAACAAGCGATGACAGTCAACCCCTCCTTTCTGTATCGGTGACTAAGGTACGCCCGTTAATCACTGCTCTAATTAGGAAATAATTCTAGGTACGCCCGTAAGATTTAATTTCCCAATTACCTTACGTATTAGAGGAGCCCTATTCTAACCAAATAACGCACTACCAGGGTTATTTCAGATTAGCCTGTGTATTCCCCTAACACGAATCTAATCATGCCAGTTGTCGCTAAATCAGGACAATTAAATAATTACGGATTTAATGCCCTAATTGACAATAGATTATCAAGTTAACTAATTATCCGGATATAAGACAATCAATTAATTAAATAACCATAAACTTAGCAATCAAGGAATATGCGAATACCAATAAATAAAAGGAAAAGATTAAATTAAATCGATCTCACAATTTTTTAGACGAATCAAAGTTTTCGTTGTTTCTTGACTAGACAAAAGGGATTTAGTTCATCCCTGACAAGAGAGACCCACGCAAAATTGATGCAACATGTGCGGCCATCGCCTTCGTTTGGGAGAACCCAATTCGTTCGAATAAATGAAAGGAAGAGCAAGCCACAGCAATTGATTCAATTGTTTCTAATTGTCCAGGCATGCGAGAAGCAAGCTACACCAGGATGGGAAATGGAAAAGTCAAAGTGAAACAACTACAAAGATTCATTCAATTCTTCATTTGCTCCTAACATCCACGAGAGAAGAAAGAAAACTACTAAGAGGCCCCACTAAAAATGAAGAAGAAAAGTCAAAAGCTAAAAACTCCAAAGTATTGCCTCCTCTCTCCTGTGCGGCAGCCTCCCTCCCGAGAGGAAGAAGCCCGCAAGCCTGCGTTCCTTTTTTTCTTTTATGCTGTCTTCCGCAAATTATCAAAGAGGGTCGCGTCTTGATATTCCAAAAATATCCTGGATGCCTGCTACTTGAACTCTTTTCTGACAACTGTCAAATTGGCACTTATTATGGTATTTTTGTTCTACTCCCTGAAATATATGCCAAATACTAAAAGTGAGTAAAATCCAGTAATTAATCCACATCGGGTCAGGTAATAGGGAAAATTAATAATAAAATAAATGATAAAATTGCAATCTATCGTCATTTTCGTTAAGTTTAACGAATTCTGTAAGTTTACAATTTAGTTCAAACTATGAGGTGTTGTTTTGTATATTTTGAAATCGATCACGAGAGATTTTTCTGTGTATTAGGTATATCACATGGGAGCTTTTTTGTTTTTAACCCTAGCTTTTATTGGTAAACTAATGAATTGGGGCCAATTCTGTATAGTTTATTCATTCAACTTTTGAATTGTTTCATGTCTAATTTGCTCTCTTGTGTTACAGGATCGATAAAACTTCTGCATGGGGCAACAACACCTTAAAATTGGATCAACATCTAGATTGCTGTAATTGGAGGTTTAAAGATGCCCCTACTTTCTTTTATAGTTGACTAGTTATTTAAATAAAATGCAGAGTATATATCAGGTCAACTAAAGGCTAACTTTAAATTCGACTTTTGGAATATTTTGGTACATACGAGCCTAAAAATAAAAATATGAGTTCTTCTATTCCATACTCTAAGAGCACGGGATATAAGATAAACACATGACAAAAGTGGACTAGAGAGAGGGAAGGGAGGAGAGGAAGAAGGAGGAAGAAGGAGACGAGGTGAGAAAGAGAGAGAGAGAAGGGGAGGAAGGGGAAAGGGCGGCGATGGTAGTAAAGGGAGGAGGGGAAGGTAGTAGCAGTGATGGATAGGGGTGTGTGATGGGTGGCGGGTAGAAGAAGAGATAGATGGTAGGACTTATTTTATTTTTTAAATTTTTTTGTGTTTTTGTTAGGTATATTTAAAATTGTACTTAGAGTGCTTTTGAGGTATTTTTGAAATACGTTATTGTAACATTATATTTTAAAAAACTTGAATTTGAAAAATAAGCCAATCCAAATAGAGCGAAATTTTACAGGCAAAAGTTTACGCCGTTCAAAAAGGGATGATAATGTCTGAATTTTATAGTAAGTCCTCGCTCTATATTGTGTGCTTATCTTATTTAAGCAAAATTTACAACAAAAAAAAAAAAAAGCCAAAAAAGTGTATACTATGGAAAGAAATTGCACGACGAGATTTATTAGTGTTATCATACTATAGACATCAACCATCTGATATTCTTGAAATGCTGATGATGTTCATATACTTCAAGAAAAAAAATTAAAATGGCAAAAATGTTCACCAATGACCAAATTTTGATACTCCCCACTTACAACAAAGATTTTAAGCATCTAGGCAGACCACAGGCACGAGGATCGCAGCTGAATTAAATTAGTAAGATTTATTTTCTTGGATATTCCAAAAGTAAAAGTTCAACACAAGTGTTACTTACATTGCTTGAAGACTTATAAACAAGGGATTCAGATTTACGTATCATAGTGAGAATAATTTGGGAAGAAAATCTAAATCATATGTAGGGAAACATAAAATGCAACCATTCATGTCTGTATCAAGTAATTGATTATTAATCTGGACTTTTGCATGATAGGTGAGAACATGGATTGATGATGATAACGAGAGACAGACGACTCAAGTCATCTCCAATCAGAATTGTTTTTTTTTTTTTTTTTTTTGAGATCTTCTACTCTATAAATACCTGCACAGGTGCAAAAATAGCCAACAGCTTTACAGCAAAAGTTTTCCCCTAAGAATTTCATTGTGACATATATCCAGCAGATATCCGTCAAAATTGCACTGAAACCAGAACAATTGGGAAATCAAGGTTCATAATTCATCCCCGCTTTATAACATTTAAGATAACATAAGGTTAAGATTCTAACAAATAGTGGCGATTATGTTGATCCTCTGGCTTCAACGAAGGTGCTCAAGCCAAGTCTTCTGTTGACTGCATTTACTTTGAATTTTCGTTTATTGTTGAATTGAGAGTGACTCACCATCAAATTGCCAAGGAAATGCAGGACTTGACTTCATTCTATCTTGTCTATTTCTTTCATTAACCAATTCTAATTATTGCCCCCAAGACCACCAATTCTAATTGTTGCCCCCCAAGACCTGTTTGGAAGAAAAAGGTGGGCGATGGGGAAATAGGAATCTGCTTAGGCATTCAGGGAAGAAATGTAGACCACTACCAACATTAATTACACTATCCACAATGCAGGGGGTAAAACACATACCTACAACTGGATCATACGGAGTATACAACAGAAGCCAACAATCTCCACCGATCTTCCCAAAGAAAACGCTAATATAATCTCCAAATTATTCACCTATTGATGGTGATAATAAGGGACTAATATTTACTGTTGCGAAGGGAACTCTCCCATTTTAGTTGGTAGGATAGATCAAAATTAATGTGCATTTACTCTTACTATGTGCAGTTTATTTAGGCATCCAAAAGTTTAATCTTAAATTATACACTCCAATTTTCAGTTGCTTATTATAATTCTTTCAACTCTCTTATTTTTATGAACAATGTAGCTTTCTTACACCACAAGGCATTCTACTGCTTTGTTTGATGAGATGTATCACAACATAATGTAAGCACAATATCGATCCACACTTTCTGAGAGAAAGGAATATATCACAAAGTTGAGAATCAAAGAAGACTTTGCTAACTAAAATAAATTCAGAATAGACTTTAGTTCACAAAATCAACCCCAAACTTAACGTTATGTTAAGAGTTAAGGCTCAACAGGAAATAAAGCTTATTACGTAAACATCATATGTGGGAAACATAAATGCTGGGAAAGAAAATCCAAGTAATATGTAGGAAAACATAAATGCAGGGAAGGACTTTTGCATGGAATGATGATGATAACGAGAGACAGACGACTTAAGTCATCTCTCATTAAGAGTTAAAGACTCATCTACATTGCCTTAGGAGTTGTTGATTCAACTTTTTAATTGTATCGTTTCTAATTTGCTCATCTTGTGTTACAGGATCAGGAAAACTTCTGCATGGGGCAACAACACCCTTAAATTGGATCAGCATCTAATTGGTGGCGTAAAGACGTTTCTGCTTTCTTTTATAGCTGCCTAGTGATTTAACTAAAATGCTAAGTATATATCTAGTCAACTAAAGACCAGCTTTAAATTCAACTTTTGAATATTTTGGTATATATGAGCCTAAAAATAAAAATATGGGTTCTCCTATTCCATGCTATAAAGGCACAAGTAAAAATACGAGTCCTTCTATGAGCACATGATAAAAGTGGGCCAAATATTTAGTTGTCTATAAAAATTTGAATTTTGTAGGCAAAAGTTTACGTAATTCAAAGAAGGATGATAATGTTTGAATTTATAGTAAGCCCACCCTCTCTATATTGTGTGCATAGCTTTTTTTTTTTTTTTTTTTCAAAACAATAACTTTCCAATATATATATGTGTGTGTGTGTGTGTGTGTGTCAAAAGTATATACTATGGGAAGAAATTGCAGACCAGATTTATTAGTGTTGTCATACTTTAGAATCAACCATCTGACAGTCTCGAAATGAAGACAAAAATGTTCACCAATAAGCAAAATTTGATATTCCCCACTTACAACAAAGATTTAAATCTTCTGGGCAAACTACAGGCATGGGGATTGGAGCTGAATTAAATTACTAAGATTTATTTTTATTTTCTTGGGTATTCCAAAAGTAAAAGTTCAATACTCGTAATACATACCTAACCTCAAGAATTATAAACAAGGCATTAAATTTTAAGTATCATAGTGAGATTAATTTGGGAAAGAAAATTTAAATCATAAAATGCAAACAAGCGTCTATGTCAAAATTTTGTATTGCCCGGACTTTTGCATGATTGATGATGGTAATGAGAGACAGAGGATTTCAGTCACCTCCAATCAGAATTGTTTTCTTGGATGTTCAACTCTACAAATACCTGCACAAGTGCAAAAATAGCCATCAGCTTTACAGCAAAAGTTTTCTCTTAAGAATTTCACTGTGACATACATCCAGCAGATATGTCAACCCTGAGTTATTCCATCTGTCCAATTAAATTAGTTTTTGCATGCTTGGTCATCCTTCACTTGCTCTCCCGCTCTGGAATTAATGCTGCTTCTGATCAAATGCATGCAGCATCAAGCACTGGAAGTGAAGGGAAAGCTCTTTTAACATGGAAAGCCAGTCTTGACAATTATAGCCAATCTAAGTTGTCATCCTGGTCATCTTCTGCAAATCCTTGCAGTGCCTGGGATGGAGTTCGATGCAACAAAGCAGGACGAGTATCGGTAATTAACATCACTAGTTCTGGCATCAAAGGTACACTTGATCATCTCAATTTCTGGTCTCTGCCCCATCTCACTACGATTGAGCTTTCTCAAAATGCACTCCATGGGACTGTACCATCCAACATTGGGAACATTTCTAGACTAACCTATCTTGGCTTGGATGCAAATCAATTTTCTTGTGCCTTTCCAATTCAAATGAGCCAGCTAACCAATCTTAGGTTCTTGTACCTTTCCTATAACTCATTCCATGGATCAATCCCTACTTCTATTGGCAATCTGACCGACCTAGCTGAGCTAGACCTAGGAAGCAACAATCTTTCTGGATGGATTCCAGAAGAGATTGGGAAGCTCAAATCTCTGACAAAACTCTCTTTGGCTAACAATACGCTCACAGGTCCGATTCCTCTATCTTTTGGAAACTTAAGTGACCCGACTCTTCTGTATCTTTACGGAAATTATCTTTCTGGGCCTATTCCCAAAGAAATTGAAAACTTAACAAAACTAAATGAATTAGATCTTTCTAGGAACCAGCTATCCGGTCCCATTCCAGAAGAGATTGGGAAGCTTAGATCTCTTACTAGACTCTCTTTAGCTAGCAACAAGCTCACAGGTCCGATTCCTCTGTCTATTGGAAACTTAAGTGGCTTGACCGTGCTGTATCTTTCCCAAAATTATCTTTCTGGGCCTATTCCCAAAGCAATTGGAAACTTGACAAAGCTAAATGAATTAGATCTTTTTGAGAACAAGCTCACAGGACACATTCCTTCTGCTATAGGAAACTTAACCAACCTCGTTGAATTGCAACTCTCTCTAAACAACTTGTATGGGGCAATCCCTCTCGAATTGGGAACATTGAAGTCACTAGCTTATATTCGTATTTTCCAAAACCAGCTAAGTGGTGCTCTTCCGGATGGATTCAACAATCTTACACATTTAAATGTGCTACAGCTGGCGAAAAACTATCTTACTGGTCATTTACCCCAAAATATCTGCATTGGTAGCTCACTGACGAGCTTCATAGTACATGAAAATAATTTTGTCGGTGCTATGCCAAGGAGCTTTAAAAACTGTTCTAGTTTAAGAAGTATTGGCATCGCTAACAACCAACTATCAGGAAATATCTCCGAAGAATTTGGCATCTATCCACATGTAGAAACTATGGATTTAAACAATAACAAATTTTTTGGTCAGCTGCCTTGGAATTGGAGCGGCTATCTGAATTTGACAGCGTTGGGAATCTCGAAAAATAATCTTACTGGCAGAATACCAACTGGGCTTGGAGAGGTATCTCGTCTGCAAAAACTTTATCTCTCTTCAAATCACTTGCATGGGAAGATCCCTAGCAGTTTGGGGAAGTTGACTTTGTTGCTTGAGCTTAAGCTGGATAGCAACGACCTTTCAGGCAATATACCATCAGAAATTGGTCAGATGTCTAGACTCTTAAATCTTAGTTTGTCGGCCAATAATCTTAGTGGCTCAATTCCAGAACAAATAGGCAATTGCACACAACTGCTGGATTTAAACTTGAGCCAAAATGCACTCGTCGGAAATATTCCTTCTCAAATAGGAAGTCTTCCCTCACTCGCAACTCTTGATCTCAGCCAAAACATGCTGGAATCAAAATTGCCACTAGAGCTAGGCGAGATGAAAAGCATTGAGACGATGAATCTTTCGCATAATAGGATATCAGGTTCCATCCCAAAAAGCTTTGATCATTGCTTCAGTTTGATTTCCATTGATATATCCTACAATCAGTTGGAAGGTCCTCTCCCCAACATTAGTTCATTTCAAAAAGCTCCATTTGATTCCCTGAGAAACAATAAAGGTTTATGTGGCAGTGTTTCTGGATTGAAACCTTGCTCTCAATCAACTCAAAAGAACACTAGTAGAAGGACAACTAAAAGAATGATCTTTCTAATTGTTGCTCCAATACTAGCAACCATATTTCTTTTGGTTGTGGTTGTGGGCATCTTCATTCGTGCAAGGCCACATACGAGAAGCCTGGAGAATAAGCCTCAGGAATTTACTAGAAATATGTTCTCTGCCTGGAGCTTTGATGGGAAAATGGTCTATGAAAACATCATTGATGCAATAGAGAATTTCGACCCCAAGTATTGCATTGGAGCAGGAGGATTTGGAAGTGTATTTAGAGCAGAGTTACCAAATGGTCAAGTGGTGGCGGTCAAGAAACTTCATGGAATGGATGATGGTGCCTTGAGGAGACCAAAAGATTTCGCCAATGAGATCCGTGCACTGACAAATATAAGGCATCGCAACATTGTGAAGCTGTATGGATTCTGTTCAAATGTACAACACACTTTCTTGGTTTATGAATACTTGGAAGGGGGAAGCTTGATGCACTTGTTGAGCAATGATGAAACAGCAGCCAAGTTCGAATGGATCAAGAGGGTAAGTATTGTTAAGGATGTGGCAAATGCATTATCTTACATGCACCAGAATTGTTCGCCTTCCATAATTCATCGAGATATATCTAGCAAAAATATTTTGTTAGACTCTGAGTATCAAGCCCATATTTCTGATTTTGGTACTGCAAGAATCTTGAGGCCTGATTCATCTCATTGGACTTCATTTGCTGGAACTTATGGATATGCTGCTCCAGGTATGCTCTTCTTTGCTCAAACAAATCCAATTTTCACTTTACCTTCTCTTTTTCAACAAATCCATAATTACGTAATGCTTTTGGATTATGATTCAATACTCTAAAGGGATTCATCTGCACCATAGTCTAAAGTGATTATTTTTTGGTGAATTGCAGAACTTGCTTTTACCATGGAAGTAAATGAAAAATGTGATGTTTATAGTTTTGGAGTATTGGTTTTAGAAGTGATCATGGGTAAGCATCCAGGTGATTTCATATTGTCCACATTGTCGGCATCATCATCCACTTCAACAGCATATGATATACTGTTGAAAGACATTGTGGATCCTCGACTTTCATCTCCCAGTAAGCAAGAGTCGAAACAAGTGACCTTGGTGGCAAAGCTGGCATTGTCATGCATAGAACCCAATCCTCTGCTAAGGCCAACAATGAAGCAAGTGTGTGTCCAACTGTTAAAGGAAATACCATCTCAATTCAACGTATTCCCAATAGTTACAATTGGACAACTTCTGGACCTGCAAATGACAAATGTTTGAACTTCTCTGTTTAAGTATCTTTCCTTCCTCTATCCAAAATTTTCAAATTTTGTTGTCTGCAACTCTAAATTTGGGGAAATTTTTGCTATGATCCCTTGTAAGAAAAAATAGCAATAAGTCGAATATGCGGATAAGGCAAACTAAGTTTGTCTGGTTTTGTTTGTTACAAGATTTGGCATACACTCATACAATGTCATTAATCTACATGTGAATTTTGTTTACATATATCAAAATATGATAATTACATCAAATTTTATATAAGAAATACTAGCTCTTGTATGAATACCATCAGTGGATAAATTTTACTTAAACCAACCAAAGTTCTCTACCAGCCCCAATTTGGTATATACAACTTCAAAAGTAACATATCAGGACCAAATAAAATCAAACGGCTGCAACAAGCACTAGGGCAAAATGATTGACATTCTAAAGGCATTCTAAAATTTCTGCCATATAACTAAAATGTAAAAGTTTTTGAAGTTTTTTAGAAGAATAAATTGTAACGATGTGATATATGTGAAGTAAAAACGTGATTGAAAAATGTGTCAGGAAAATTCTTTCACAAAAAATAGTAATTGAAACATGCTCTTCTACCTTGACCTTTTCAAACCTGCATCTTCGAACTTGAGCGGGCATTGGCATCTTCTTTATCTTTATAAACAATTCCAGCTTGATGCAATTATAAAGATGTCAGTTTACTTAATTTTTAAATTCACAATAATTTCTTTATTTTTAACTAACCAATCTATAAATGAAGTGAAAAAATTCCCCCATCATCTCCTCGCTCCTTTAGTCCCATCCCTCTTCTGTTGGAAAAAATTTATAAAGCAAAAAACCTATAAATGAAGTGAAATTTGCAGATTCCAGGATGACTCACACCATCTAGCTTTAAAGGAAGTTGATTTTCTTTTCCTTTTTTCTTTTGTTTTGGTAGTAAGTCCAACTAAGTTGACTAAAACAACTAAATTTTGCTACTTAGGAAAAAAACAAATTCCAAAACAACATTATTCGCCGATAAGAAGGCAAAAGGATCCCAAAAAGAAATAGTAATAGTACATTATTAGGGGTACTACTGCCAAGTTGACCTGAACAAATACATTACATGCAGATCCATCTTCTTTTTTTCTTTTGGAGGGATACATATCCCATCTTTACTAGCAACTTGAAGCAGCATATTACATATTTAAAATTGCGAGGCCTATATTCCTGTGATTAGCATTTGGCAATTTGGAAAGCCAATTATTGGCAAAAAGTTCTTATTAATTTTCTAACCAACTTTTCATTTTTCTATCTCATGTACGCTAAATTATAAAAAATAAATGTATATATATACAGGTAAAAAGTAGAAAAGATATTTCAGATAACTGTAAATCCAAATGAGAAATTACTTTTGTAAATGTGTTGAGAATAGCAAAAATGTAAAAACCTTAAAACCGCTGTGCTCCAGCTTGATTATGATCATATTTGGAAATTCTCGAGAATCATTGCTACCAAACAAAATCGACCTTAAATTCAAAGATGAGCATTTTTTGTACGTGATATTGTTGTATCACACATTCTAATAGATGTATATTAAACAATTATGAAACCACTAATTCACGCCATTTTTTGTGTGTAAATTACTAGTAACTTCCCTATGGTTTAACACATTATCACATGACCTCCCTAATGTTTAAAATATTCACATAATCCCTTGTAACTTTATGTAAAGTGGATATTTGATAGAAAAAGCAACCTAGACAAGGTTGTTAGTTGAAATATCATTATTTCTCTTACTTAAGTGCCAATCCAAATGAGAGTCTAACCACTTTGTATAAAATCATGGCGGGGAATAGTATAGATATATGAAAACCTATAGGAGAATTAAGTGAATTTTTATTAAAAAAAAACTATAAGGAGGTTAAATGGATATTATAATTTTACCATATAAGTTTTTAGAGTGTGTGAGGATCATTTTCTATAATATGAGATACTTTCTCTCCATTTTTTACTTTACATAAAGCTATAGAAGGTTATGTGGATATTTTGAAATGTTAAAAAAATCATGTGCCAATATGCAAAACTATGGGGGACTGTTATTTTTTTTTATGTACAAAAGGTATTGAAATAATCAAGTATAAGGGAAATTTTTCACGTACAATTCTCTTTGTTATGACAGGTTGATCTCGGGGCCCAGGGAAGCGGTATTAGGCTATTCTATCTAAGAAGAGGAAACAAATCTACGACTACATTGGCCTGGTCCAAAATAATGTCAACATTGCGATAAAGTTTTGCGATGCCCGGAGCTACATGTGCATTGCACATTATTTTAAAATAAAATTTAACAGAGACTTGTATTGAGTATTTACTCAGTTAATATAAATTGATTAATTTAACAGACCAATTTTGAGAATCAAAACATTTCTTGTTCTTTAGCAAAATAATAAAAAACCTTACCAGCACAATGCACATGTGGAGAAGTCATCTTGATTGGATATAAATTTAATTAAACCTAAGGCAACATTTTTTCTTTGGATTACAATTACACTTTTCTTCCTTTCTTATTAGTATAAAGTACTAACAATGAACCAGTTTACAATTGATAGGAGCCGAACCTGTGCAATAATAATTACTAAAAAGTTCTAGTTACCACCACAATTGCTGCGAATTCTCAGCCATTCCTTCAATTAACTCCCACGCAGCTCGGGGGGTCTTATTCACTAGTGCCCCTCCACTCGCGGCATCGATTATACTCCTGTTTCTAAAAATTAGCCCCTCATAAAAATATTGTATGAGCAACTGCTCACTTATCTGGTGCTGGGGGCACTTGATGCACAACTTTTTGAAGCGCTCCCAATACTCATAGAGGGACTCGCCTGGGTGTTGCTTGATCCCGCAAATTTCTTTCCTTAGGCTTGCAGCCCTGGATGCAGGAAAATATTTATCTAAAAATTTTTTCTTTAATTGGTCCCACGTGATGATACTACCCGGTGGCAGGTAGTACAGCCAGTCCTTTGCAGAATCCTTCAAAGAAAAGGGAAATGCCTTCATTTTTATTTGCTCTTCTGTAATGCCCGGGGGCTTCATACTGTTGCACACGAAATCAAACTCTTGCAGCAAATGCTTATAAGGCTCCTCACCTGGTAAACCATGAAAAGATGGTAGGAGATGTATTAGACCAGAATTTAATTCAAATGGGGTGTTATCA